CGGTTCGTTTTTGAATCATTGATGGCCTGAGGAGAGAATTCAGTACCAGGGACAGGCACGATGTACAGTAAATGATGTTTATAGAAGAACACATGGCAACTCTAACCGTTTCACCTTAACATAGTTTCTCGCTGCTGTTGTAAAACTGAAAGGTCATTGACATTAACTGCAGAAAATGAAGCCTTAAGTGTAGAAAGCACTCTGTAAACATCATAAAATCTGTATTTCTTTATCGCTGTTCAAGTGGTAATGCGTTCTTCCCATAGGAAGAAGCTTTTTGCAATCTGATTGTAAAACTTTTCTGTACGCAAAGGACATCGGTACATCTTGATATGGTACGAGTGACGTTAACGCCTCCGCTTACGGGATGGCGTGAAATGTACGTGACAAGCCGACAAAACACGTGGAAGCAACTGTCGCGAAGATATAATGGAGCCTAAACATCTGTGAAATCACGCAAATCGGGGGGCTGAGTTGTGAAACGCTTTACCATGGTACTTGGAATGCTAATGTGATATTATTAACCTTTGTTCTGCAAAGGACTGTAAACATACTACATTTGTTTTGGTCACAAGATCAGTTAGCTGGGAGAAGGTTAACACACGGAGCCAGTATATTGTTAACCCTTCTTCTGCAAAGGACTGTTAAAATATTACGTCTGTATTGGCCACAGGATCAGTTAGCTGTGAGAAGGTTAAAATATGGAGTCAGTTTACCTTTTGTAATACACTTTGTCATCCTTTATGTTTAAGGTAAGCCCCTGCATATATTATACATCCTCCATTATTTGAGATAAAGCCCGCTTGCCAAATGGAAGTGGTAAAATATATGGCAGGACCAAAATGGACTTTCGCTAGGCGAGATGTAGACAGATTATATCTGCATACATGCAAGTCTACAGCTGAAGCTATCAATTATAGAAAAGTTATTAATGGGAGTTGGTCACCTCTCTTGTATAAGTTGTTTTTATTCATTATTGTGAATTTCATGCTGATTCTGTGCGGATTTCATAGGGACTGTAACTTCCTCCCAGCTTATGGTGAGACCATTTTGACCTCCAACTCAGTCTGTGGTTATACCATTTCCCTTTTCACTTCCTGTGACCCTACTCTATTCCGTTACCTCACACACACAAGCAAACAAACAGACAGCCCGCCCAAAACACGATCTCCACACACAGATGTAAGAACATATTGCAATGTGCAATCAGAAAAGCTCAATGAATATTGGTTAATCCATATCATGAGTCACATACAACAGAAAACAGATTTCAAGCCCTGTCTCTGCTCTCATTTTGTCCTGCAGTTATCGTAACCAAATGGAATTGCCTATTTCCGAAGAAATAGATCTAGGCAGCCTGTTCTGGGACCATGTTGAAAGGAGGTGTATCTTATCATGTACAGTGTACAGCTAGCAGTAGTGATTTCTTACGTGTTGTTCCTGATGTGTAGCTACCCGCTGAGACACGGGGAAATGGGTTGAACTGATTCTGCCCCAGAGGTCAACATGAAAGACATACGACCTTGAGTTATCAGCTAATGCTGTCTACAGTCGGCTTTTCTCACTGTTTAAAAAGAAACTATGGGATCCCCAAACCATGGAAGAGAAAGCAGTTGTTAATGTTCACAGAAGCCCAGAGTAATGTGCGTAAACTCTTGCAGAATTTTGGTTGTCGGGTGTGAAGTACGTTTCTTTGACGTTTGTGATTCTTGGTGGGGAATGATAACGCCGGAGAAGGGTCTCTGAAGCTACAGCATGTGTCAAGAGATCTGAAACCATGGAAAAGAAAGCAACCACTCTTTGTGTTCACAGAAGCTCTCAAATGTATAACATCCAGCAGAATTTCATTGTCGGGTGCAGAGTATGTATCTTTGACGTTTGCGATTCTTGGCGGGGAACGATAACGCCGGAGAAGGTTCTACAGAAGCTTCAGTATGTGTCAAGAGATCTGAAACCATGGAAAAGAAAGCAACCACTCTTTGTGTTCACAGAAGCTCTCAAATGTATAACATCCAGCAGAATTTCATTGTCGGGTGCAGAGTATGTATCTTTGACGTTTGCGACTCTTGGCGAGGAACGATAACGCCAGAAAAGGTTCTACCAGAGCCTCGGCTTGTGTCAAGAGATGAGCGTCTTGTCAGCGAGGCTGCTGTAAGATAACGCTGTGTCAGAGCGCCGCGGGTTAACCGGGGTCTGAATAAAACATGGAGAATGGATCCATGTGCCAACTATCTGTAGCAAGATCTGGAGAAGTACTTGACGTGGTGGACTGTGGAGAGAGATAGGACTCATGGAGAGAGGACATGGAATAGTTTGTTAAAATTGGCTGAAACACCAGGAGGCACGTAAAGATCAACATCAGACTGTAGGAAGGGGAACAAACATGAAAAAAGAAGCAAGGCTATTCAGACTACAGTAACTGAATAATGGAAGTGTATATGGAAGGCGGGAGAATGGTAGTACTTCGCAGTAGCAAAAGTTCACAGTCTGAGAAAAATATTCATGTAACTATACATTCGCGGTGGTGACAGGGGCAGTCATTTTTCTAATTTGCTATACAGCAAGTAAATGAGATTGAAGTTTAGGAATGGGTTGATTTTTTTTGCTTGATGGTTTTCAAGGGATGGTTTGTGTCCATTTTGATAGTGTATAGTAAGTATGTTTGCAAGAAAGCCCTTTGGCTTTTCAGTAAGTTAATATTTCAGCATGCTATTGATAGTTGTAGACCCTATGCATATCCGACTCCGAAGGTGTAATCAAAGGTCATGACCTCAGACCCACAATGCCTCAGTCCAGTTGCCGAGCCTTCCCCAGGCAAATCTTGATGCAGTGCCATGTTTGTGAACTCTGCCCCAAAATGTGGGCAGTTTAAACCCCTGGAGCTATAAATGTGCAGCTATTTTGCGAAGGAAGGTTTTATAGATCACCGAAAAGGTTGACATGAAGGCTTGCGGCCTAGAAGAAGGTCAGAAATGAGTCCCAAAGTGCTGCTTATATCCACACACTGCATTGGAAGGAAAATTAACTAGGAAACAAATTAAGAAGAGTCTTTGAGGGCTCTATATAAAAATGGAGAAACGTCCACTCTTCAAGGATATGGGAAAGTCTGCATAGATAAAGATCAACGAAAATGGCTTTGCCGTTTTCTATGTATTGATCTTCAAGTCAGATCCATCATTTTTATGGATACAGAATGTATGATTCAATGCATTGTTGATTTTATTCCTCCAAGCTTGAGGGATGGGAATCGGTTATCCTGTCACACTGTAGACAGGGAGAGCATTTTTATGTTGTATTTGGTCATGTTTAAGTGAAGTGATGTAAAACTTGACGTAATTCAGTTTCCCTTTTTAGTGAACTTCACATCTTTTGAGAAGAAATAGACTTGGCAATAGCATGTGCAATTAATGGGAATATAAATACCACAGGGCATATTTAAAGGGAGCCATAAATATGAGAGTCAAATATAATGTAGATAGACATAAAAGGGGTCCTTATCAACATTTCATTGCCCAGCTTTGATTGAAATACTCGTTTACAGAAGGTACAGTACAATCACCGAAAAAAAGACGCTTCTATTAGGAATGTATTAAATGATTTCTTATAGGTATCATTCAACATGCATACAAGATTGTGTTGCGCTGAGATCAAAGAATTAGCGGAGTGTGATGTAGTGCCTGTGAAATTTTCTTGTCGCTTTAATGACTTAGAGAAATTACCGGCGGCAAGCAAAATTGATTGTCATAGGACAAGTCATCCATCACAAATCCCACCTCCCTCCCAACTCAAAATCGTCTTTGCTTCAGCTTATCAAGAACCGCGAAGGGTTATGTCAAGAAATAAAACATCTAGAGCTCTTAGCTGTTTCTTTGCTATGGGCACGTTACAAATTTCCACCCCCCTCCCTCCCAGTGAAAAATCCTCTTTGGTTCAGCTTATCTAGAACCGCGAAGAGGTTATGACAAGAAATAAAACATTATTTTAGAGCTCTTCATAAAGCCGTTTCTCTGTTATTTGCACGTTACAAATTTAGCCCCCTCCATCCCAACTCAAAATCTTCTTTGGTTTAGCTTGTCAAGAACAGCAAAAAGGTTATGACAAGAAATAAAACATTTAGAGCTCTACATAAATCTGTTTCTCTGTTATGTGCATGTTACAAATTTAGCCCCCTCCCTCCCAACTCAAAATCGTCTTTGGTTTAGCTTGTCAAGAACAGCGAGAAGGTTATGACAAGAAATAAAACATTTAGAGCTCTACATAAAGCTGTTTCTCTGTTATGTGCATGTTACAAATTTAGCCCCCTCCATCCCAACTCAAAATCTTCTTTGGTTTAGCTTGTCAAGAACAGCGAAAAGGTTATGTCAAGAAATAAAACATTTAGAGCTCTACATAAAGCTGTTTCTCTGTTATGTGCACGTTACAAATTTACCCCCCCCCCCATCGCAATGCAAAATCCTCAGCTTATCTATAACCGCGAAGAGGTTATGACAAGAAATAAAACATTTAGAGCTCTTCATAAAGCTGTTTCTCCGTTATGTGCATGTCGTATCCTTTGACCAGCCCTTTTTAATCTCCATTTCTCTTTCACTGCCGTCTCTGCCCCTCCCCCTCCTAACCTGGAAACCAGAGAAGCCCTGGGGGGGAAGAACCATTATATGTGTGCAAAGTTAGTGAGCTGTGCCCTGACGTAGCTGCAATGAGGTGAGGGACCCTTGCGCGGAGAGTTGGGGCTAAAACCGAGATTGCTTTTGCCCCACTTGATCTGGGGCGCTCCGCGGAATAGAGTAGACTCATAAAACTCTGGCAGCGTTTATTACAGCGGAGTTGTGGAGATGGTAGTTAAACTAAGGGCACGAAGCATGCGTTTATCAACAGGGGACGATTTGGAGCCAGGAAATA